TGCTGTTTTGAATTTTTCAATAAAAGAAGTCGGAGTGGAAATTTAAAAGCTATCAAATAAAGTCAGCCTTTACTTTCCCTAGATTTTGATTTTAGCTCTTACCAATTTTAATTTTCTTAATAACTTACAAGACTAAAAGACTGTTTAAATGAATGCTCAACATTTACTTCTTCCAATTACTTTTTATGAAACAAAACATTTCTTTGCTTTTCTAGTATTTGTTAGATTATAAATTTTTCATTGTTTCTTAGTGTGTAGATAGCTCTGCAATGAACATGAAGGATTTATAATTACATATCTATATTGATAGCAAATTATATTTTGAAAGCAAATTACCAATTACATTACAGGATGTAACACAATGGAACATTACAATATCACAAGTTGAAACATCATTACTTATCAGCATTAAATGAACCACTTTCTATAGTGTAGCATAAAAAGTTAATCTTTATAATGAAAACACTCTCCGACACTTTATTACAACTTACTGAAGTGCATATTAAGGATCTGACTTGCTCTGAAAATTATTCTTGTACTTGAAAATGAATTTACATAGTACAAATGCATGGTATTTAATTACATTAGATAAAAAAAACTTTAATACTGTTAATTCAATGCATTTGTCCAAAGTTTTAATTAGCAACTACTTATCCAACTACAATCCAAAAACATATAAAAACATAAAATATTTTGGAAATTGCAGATCAGAACATGAAAAACCTTTCACCTACAGGAAGCTACATCATAATCAGATGATTGGCTATAATTTACGAGGGCAAAATCACAGAATAACTGCTAGTTAAATAATATAAATATTACAAATTATATAATAATTACATTTAGTAACATTTACATTACAGATAACTATATAAAGGTGAAGGTTTCTCCTCTTAGAGTGTGACTCATTCTGTTGTTATTGCCCCTTCATACTAAGCTGTGAATCACTGTGAGAGTGAAAAAAATAAACAAAGGATTTTATAAGTTAGTTATTATTGCCGGACGTTAGTGCAGCCATAGTCTGTTTCGATGCACTGGCAATCATCCAGACGAAACACAAACACGCGGCCCTCAACTAAGGTATTGAACAAGGAAGTGGGTGTTAAAAGATTACAATAACCAGTCCATAAGTGAACTAACATTACCTTGAAAGGTTGGTGTATCTCCATTCAATGATTAAGCCATTGTAATACGTTATACGATAAATGGGTTCATTATTTTGGAAGCGTACTGATATACGAATAATACTCAGATCAATCAGTCTAATTTTATATCAATTTGTTAGAACCCTATTTATAATTGACAGAAAGTATTTGAAGTTTATTTTACTAAATTTACATCTAAAATGAAATATAGAATTCTGCCGCTTCCACCACCGGTTTATCGTATAATGAATGTCCTTTTTAAAAATAAATTGATAAAAAAGAGAACGTTTTAAAAAGAGTACTTACATTCATTTATCTGCACTATATTCAGAAGATGATTTGTAGACTATATTGTTACACATTATTTGAAACACATATTTTTTAGAAACTTAACCACAACACAATCAAGTTTTAATATCAAGATTACGAATTGTACAATAAAATGACAGAAAACAACGGAATAGAAAAAGACGTGTGGGTCGAGCGACGAACAGAATATCTTCTTATGTTCCGATAGATGGCGTACGAGTAACGAATGACATCCGAGTACCATAGACAATCAGGAGTATTATTAAAGACCTAATGTTGCAACATTAACTCCTTTAATATCTAAACGTAGAGGAGAAAAAGTATTACATATTTTTTTTATTGTTTTGCTTCATAAAACATTTTTTTTTAAATACGCATTCTTACCTTTGCGTCTGAAGACCATTGAACAAAAATTATTTCTATACGTATTTAAGAAATTATTTTCTATTTCTACACCACACTGACATATGTGATAATGAAATAATTTTTATGACTATAGTTCTATAGTATAGTTTTAATGACTATAGTTCAGTCTGACTTTGAAAATAATAAAATAGGAGTCCCACAAGGCAGCGTTTTGGGACCTTTATTGTTTTTGATATATATAAACGAATTACCATTACTAGTTAGGCACTTATGTGTTATGTTTGCTGATGATGCTACAATATTTATACCGAAAGATAGACTAACTGACACGGAATTTAATATTCAAATTTGCAACACCCTAAAAACTGTGATGATTTGGTTATCGACTCTCAATCTAAAAGTGAACTTGGATAAAACAAAGATTCTGCAATTTAGAAATTATAAAAAAGTTGTGCAAGATTTGGGTATAGAAATTGACAATAAGAAAATAGAAGAAGCAGTAGAAATAAATTTTTTGGGTGTTACTATCGATCCCAATTTGAATTGGAAGTCTCATATTATTAAAATTAACAAAAAAATCTCAGCAAAATGTTATGTATTATCAATATTGACGAATGTATCTTCTACTGACGTTACAAGAAACGTATATTATGGTTATGTATATCCACTCTTGACATATGGGATAATATTTTGGGGAAACTCTGTTAATGTTAATTCTACGTTTATGTTACAAAAAAAATGTTTAAGAATCATTTATAAAATTCATTGTATGGAATCAATACGACCTATTTATAAAAAATATAAATATTTAACTTTGACATGCATATATATATTAGAAATTTGTGTTTTTGTTAAGAATCATAGTGAGTACTTTATCGAAAAGCAAATTACAAAAACTAACATTCGATCGCAACATAAGCATGACATATGTACTATCTCATCCTCTAGTTATATACTTGACAAAAGCACTTATGTTGCTGGAGTCAAAATATTTAATAAACTGCCCCTAAGATTAAAAAGTATTAATGGAAATGTGTTTAAAATACGATTAAGGGAGTGGTTGTTGGATAAATGTTTTTATAATTTGAATGAATATTGGTGTTATGTAAATGAATAACTATTATTGTATGTCCGAAATGGGCAGCTGTTGGAACTGACTCGTTTATGTAACATCTACTGTACACAGTTTGACAATAAAATTATTATTATTATTATTATTATTATTATTATAATGGGAGTTAGATAATAGTTATAAAATTATAAAAAGTGTTTAACAAATTGTAATTTCAAAAGGGTGTTCCTGCCTGGTTTTAATGCAATTTCACTTGAGAGATGCTCTTTTCTTACATTTGTAACAAATCGTATAATTCATCATTACGCTTAAAATCCATCTGCTTCTCTATATGGAAGTCACTCTTGAAGGTAGTATTGAATTCAAGCTACTTCGGTATGTACCAGAAAATGTTCAGAAAATATTTATTATGTCAGCGATGAAATTCGAATTCAAACTCCATATAATTTATTCAATCCAGGCTGTTACAAGCACTTGATAAAGTTATGCTGTCACTTCGTAGATTACGTTGGGAAACCGTGTACTGAGAAGAACTGGCAAGAAATTCAGCTAGGGTTGTTTTTTTTTTTCAAAATAGTTAGCCGTTTTATGGTTATATAAAAGGATCTACATATCAATTACTCTATAGATAATAATATAGTTCATAATAATCGAGCTTTACGAGAAACAAAATTATTGTTGTCATCATATATTATTACTAGCTTACTCGGCAAACACTGTTTCATTAGAAATTTAGAGATTTATAACTAAGGTGTAAAAAATGGTAGCAATATTTTCTCAGACCTATTAAATATACATATAAAAATCACCAAAATCTATTAAGCCATTTCGGAGGAGTATAGTAATTGGTAAAGCAAAATTGGTAAATGAAAGTTGTATATTTATAAAAAGTGGAGATAGGTCTCATTAAGAGCTATCTATATATGTGACTGCGTGCCTAAATACAGCACGCCATCTGGCAGAATATCAAAGTGACACCCAATGTCGATCTTTCTCACTCCCACTTGCGCATGCCTCGTGGGTGACTTTTCTATGACAATATTTGTTAATATAACCTAAAGAAATTAAGGATTTACATACAATACAGTATAATTAGATTGAAAATCACTGCAAGAAATACATTAAGAAATCTTTAAGACCCGATGAAATAGTTTTAGAAACTGAATAACGTCTCATCAATAGGTACATGGTTTTATTTGTAGAATTTACTACAGTTAAACGCAATGATAATTTTTTATGTTATTAGCTTTCAACCGAAGGAACAGCAAGAAAGTTTTATCAAAATCGGTACAGTGTTTTTGATAGTATAATCTATTAAACTTAAACTAACTTATCATATTTGATCAAATTGCTAATATCAAATACGGCGAATGGGCAATATAAACACATTCATGAAGGAACTCGCGATAATACATAATTGGTCACTCATCCTATGATCAGCCCTTGCCAGAATGCTAATTATTGCGTAATCGAGCTTTTAAAAACAACCTCCTAGGAAAACATTTCCTTAAAAATGTAGCATGTGTTTTAAAGGAAATATTGAGTAAAATATTTAATAATAAAGTAATATCCCAATAAATTGCATACATACAGGGTGACTAGATAATCTTTTTATTTTCGTTTCTTTTTTTAACACATAACACAATTTAAATTTGAATATACGTTATTTTGTCTGATGTATAGATATTTCAATAAATACTCGTATATACATATTCACAAAATGCATTTTTGCATTATCTGTATGATTAAATTTTATGATTTGATTAATTTGTACTTCCTTAGTAAAAATATTATACCTTGAATTTCTTTTAAAATAACTATATGATGGGAGACTAAACGTTAGCTTTTTAAATTCGTTTAGGTATCAATAAAACTCAACAAATACTTTTATATGGGGATAGGTCTTACATAATGCATATGACTGCATGTCTAAATATTGCACGCCATCTGGTGGAATATGAAAGTGACAGCGAAAGTCAATCTTTCTCACTCCCACTTGCGCATGCCTCGCGGGCGAATGGTTCAATGACTTTGGCGACCGTTTCTATTTTCTCTCTGGTTCTGTCGTCGGGTCGGCCTGTGTAGAAGGGGGTCTTTGTTTGCGTTTCACGTTCGCGTTGCACGGTATAATCCACGGTCGCGCTCCATCGTATCGTCGAGACGGAATGTGCCCGCATAAGTGGAAGCGTGGGTTTCGCTCCTCCCGGTCGATGTGAAATGTCGTGTAGTGTGCCAGGGTGGCGCCTTCAAGCAGTGCGTGTGCAGTGAGGTGCAGTGGTGTGTGCGAAGGAACGTGGGTCGGTACGGCGACGGCGAGCGAAGTGCGCGGAGGTGGCGGTGGCCGTGCGGCCATGACCGGCGACATGCCTCTAGGGAGCGCGCACGCGTTCGGGCGCGCGTTGCTCCGGGATGGAGCTCTGCCACCTTTGGAGCCCGGCCCGCCCGCGCCGCCACCGGCCGCCGCGCAGCCGCCGGACAAGCGCCCACCGGCCGCCGCCGCCAGCCCCGAGCAGGTTATGAAGCTGTACATGAACAAACTCACCCCCTATGAACACCGTGAAATTTTTGACTACCCCCAAGTGTACTTTATAGGCGCAAACGCTAAGAAACGGCCCGGGCTCGTCGGGTTCCCGAACAATTGCGAGTACGACAACGAGCAGGGATCGTATATTCACATACCGCACGACCACATAGCATATAGATACGAAGTGCTCAAAGTTATCGGCAAAGGTAGCTTCGGGCAAGTGGTGAAGGCATATGACCATAAAAAGCGTGAGAACGTGGCACTGAAGATGGTGCGGAACGAGAAACGGTTCCACAGACAAGCGCAGGAGGAGATCCGTATCCTGGAGCACCTCCGTGAGCAAGACAAGGATAACACTATGAACGTGATACATATGTTCGACTCGTTTACGTTCAGAAACCATACGTGCATTACGTTCGAGCTGCTCTCGATCAACCTGTACGAGCTGATCAAGAAGAATAAGTTCCAGGGGTTCTCGCTGCAGCTGGTGCGCAAGTTCTCGCACAGCTTGCTGCAGTGCCTCCACGCTCTGAACAAAAACAGGATCATTCATTGTGACATGAAGCCGGAGAATGTTCTGCTGAAGCAACAGGGACGTTCTGGAATTAAGGTCAGTATTTATATTCCCAGTTAACATAACCTAATAATCAATTCACTCAGCAAGCTCTTAGTGAACGGAACTAGGTACTTATTGGAATATACAAACCCGAAAATAACGAAGCGATTGTATTAAACACCTGTTTGTCGTAGTTTGCCTCTAGCCATCGGGATGAAAATCAATATGGGTGTAAATTTTTTTGTTGTAAACACGCAGTGAAGTGTGCGTACCCAATCAGCTGGCCACACCCTGCTACCTGGCAGCGAGCCACCCTACACGGACCCTTGTTTACACAGAATATTCAACTATTAAAATTTCGTCGAACCCCTTATCTTTGTTACACCATGTAATCTAAGAGTGTGTATCTTTAATTCGTACTCGTTATCAACTTTATTATTATTACGTAGAAACGAGAAAGTGCATCAAATATATCTAAAGTAGATTAAGTTTGAATTCCTCTATTCTATTCATTAATGTATTTTATTTAAAAACCCGTCTTTAAATTATTTTTATCTAAATTATGTCGTAAAAAATTATACCTGTCTGATAGGTCGTATCGAAACCATGAATTTTCTTCTTTTATATGATATCTGAAAGGCGACACAAAACCGTGTTTTGTAACTAGAATGTTTCGTACTTTACGGTATTCAAGTGAACCCTTCTGTTATATGAGAAGCGTTTATGCAACCCTCAATTTAGTTCGTGTCGTAGGGGAAGTGTACCCATACACATCTATATATACACAAGATATTACATGTTTTGATCTTGAAAACAGACATTGTGAAATCTGGTCAAGAATACTTAGAAACCGTGATGCCGAATTAATTTTACAGTTTTCATTGTTCGTGTTCGGAGCTAAGTAATCCGGCTTGTAGGTCAAGATCTGGCCGTTCACTGTTCGTCGAGGCTTCACTTTGCTTTTTTTTCTTTAAAACTTCATATTTGTTGTAAATACGCCTACCTAATAGCAAACTGATATTGCTGGGTAATATTGAATCTGTTAAATTGATGCCACATTAATCATTGCGATACTTAGGTGGTTCAGACCTCTTTGCCTATCCCGAAAGAATCAAGCTGGAATATATGTACATACATAGAGATTGATACATCCTTGTTTGACGTGAAAGTCGGCTAATTAAAATGAAAACATTATGGTACCTAATCATAACAAATTATTGATAATGAGGAAAATATTCCAGATGAGCAGGGAACACAGATAGTATTCTATACAAACGTTCTGGATGACGTAAATAAAACTGTGTATGACGACCGTCTTAACTAAATTTAAAATAGAACTCTGTATATGTGAGCGACTGTCGGTCGCCAGATAACGATAATCACTTCGTGTGTTGCAGTTTTAACACGTTATAAGTTTATTTGAGGAAAACAATTAAAAAAGGAGCCGACCGTTTAAAATACCAATTTGGAATCGAATCGGCGATATCTCGCTTACAAGACAAAAGCTCATTATGTTCAGCTACCGGACACCTAATGAGACTAGAATTGAAGTAGCTATTACATTCGCTGCTAGTGAGCGTATTCTCAGAAAAAAATATCAATATAACACAGTTTTAGCATGGACAATTGATACAACAACAGTTCCAAGTTTGCTTTCGTTAATATTCACAATATAATTACACTGTTTTGTAATTATAATGTGAATATTTCTATATATAATTATATTATTCAATTACAATACAATATAATTATATAAAATGACTGCAAAAAAGACACTAAGTAATCTCTAAGACCCGACGAAATGGTTATTGAAATTGAATAAAATCTGGTCAATGTTTTAGCTGCAGAGTCTACTGATTTACTACACACATTTACCTAGCTGCTGCAGATAATACTAATTGACTAGATGTTGTGAATAGTTTTATTATATTTTTCTTAACAAAAGAGTTATTTATATATCTAGATAATCAACCGTCCTGGGTGTCCGAAATGGGACGTGGGATATGAGATGGTGGTTAAAACTGGTATTTTTTAAGAACTGTTCTCTAATATACCTAAATATCAATATAAAATTGTGTAAGCAAAATTGATACAATATAATAATGACTTATCAAGTGACTTTTAGTCTTGTTTGCTTTTAACTAATGTTAATAATACGATAATAATTGCATTTTCTATTTACATGATTTTATTTACATAAATCACGAGTGTAAAATCTGTTCTCGGAAAATGTAACGTAACACCTACTTGGGATCGCCAGTGATATTCTGCTTCTACACTGCGTCGAGCAAAGCTCTAACGCAGCACCTTTTAAAGAATGTTTTATTTGATTGAATCCCTAATATTTCATCAGATTAAACCTACTTTAAAAAGTAACGAAGGTTTTATTCCACGCTAAATTTGTATTTTTAAAAGAATAGTAAAGCAGGACATCGCACGTGTCTCAACAGGTTATCTTCCACACTTATCGTGTTAAGGAATACCCATTACAAAGTTGTCCTGTTTTATTTTTATTCAATAATGACAATCGTTAGCAATCATTGCAACTAATTAATTAATCATATCCTTCGAATAGCCAACAATGTAGTAATGACGCAGTTAAATGTAGTTGTTTATATATCTAATATTCAACAAATATAATGTTTGCGTTGACGACTTAATTATAACTACGATTGCTGATAAACAGTTTTGTTCTTTTTTTTTATTTTTCTGGCACGATTTCGATCCTAAGAATTTTTAAATTTTATTTTTTCTTATTAAATTTATACGATCTAAAACTCAAAAAACTCCAAAATTATACACATTTTTAAACAGATTATCAGCTTGACTTTAAATGACGAATTTTCATTCAAACTTATAAAAGACTCCTTTTTCGAATAGGATAATATAACCCTATTTCGAATAGGTTTAGAAGTTTGATTTAAAATTTTTCACATTAAAAATTGCATCTTAAAATCGGAAAGCGTGACAGACATAATTGTGTTCGTATTTATAATATTTGTAGGAAATCATCTACGTTTCATTTTCTTGATCGATACTACATCTCATTGAAAATAAATGAAGTTGCACGTAAAAAACATCTTTTGTGTCCATGTCATTACGTAAACTGATTTTTATTTTCTATTGTGTTACTAACTACTTTTTATGAAATGATTCTATTACGCTATTAAATTGGGGTTCGTTAAACTCCATCGATTTTTAGAGAACATTCAAAACGTTTTAGCGTGTGAAGTTATTTTTCTTTTTTAAATTATTTATTCGGCATTCGATTTGTGGCTTCTTGTCATTAAAACCATCGATTTCTCATGTCTTTTTAAATTTAACTTGTTGTTTTAACTTCTTGTCATTAAATCAGCAAACACTTATTTATTTGCCTTTCGATTTGTCGTCATAATTTCTATAATTATAATAAATGAAAAACAGTTACCTCTCTACTACTTCGCTGACGCCAATCGGTTGGACAGTTTATTAAATGAATAATAAATGTCTTTTTATTTAATGACGTGTGTTATTCATGTATTTTATTTAGACAGCTGAGATCTAGATTTAAGATGCAAATAAGCAGTACATTAGGCTTCATTGATTACGAATGCAAACAACATAATTTGCGATAGAGACCTCTCTCTAGCACAAATTATAATATGTCCTCATTGAACCCATATTTTATTATTTAAATCAATATTACTCATTCAAAAGTACTTGTAAAGTAGAAAAGCTATACTTTTCGTCATGAAAGTTACGGCTGGAGTATTAAGAAGAATCGGCAAGTAACTTCGCGAGGACTTTTTGTCTCTGTTTGTATTTAAGTAATTGCAAATATTAAGATTTCATTATAAATTCAAACTCCGCAAAACAGTTCTTTAGACTGCTTTTGATATCGCCAACGGTACTTTTAAAATATTTTTTAAACCTGTTTTGGCACTCACACGGAGCCGTTAAAATCTTAATTGCATTTATTAACGTTCGGCGAATTCCACTTTATAGGTTATAATTGCTCTGATTTATGCTTTCATTGTTATCGAAAAAAAAATATTTCGTTCAAAGAATATCTTTCTCACATAATTCATTACATTTTATGAAATAATTGTTACATATAAATATCGTGTCACAGACTGAATACACTGTAAAGAGATTAGTCACTGTCTGCAGACTAAAAAAAAACAATTGAACACGAGAATACAGTTCAGCATAGACAAATGGATGTGATCACAATAGTATAACCTGAAAACCTAAATGATAACAAAAGAGTTTTCCATAACAGTGAAATAACATCGTTTGTAATGTGAACAGTACACTAATTTTACACTTACCGATTTCCAACTGAAGCTCAACCACTTTTTTGACTGAATATTTATTATCATGTATATTATCCCGGGCATAAAAGCTTTTAAACGCAAATGTCGTTAATTAAGACGCTGCTACACAACTTCATCTCGCCTCCATCAGATTTGCTTTAGAAAATTATAATAAAACCCCTTATTACTTGTTAGATACTATAAAGATGTGTTAGGTAGAGCGGATAGATAAAAATCTAGGCCATACATGTAGAACAAATTTGCAGTAACGATTAACATGTGATGATTTATGGAATAACTGGATAGATCTAGTACGATTAATGTTGTATGTTAGCTCTTTTGAAATGGTATTTTCTGTCTATCTTCCTAATTTCCTCTATGGATGGAACCGAATAGGGAGAATAGGCCTCGAAGCCCAGTACGGATTAATGGGGGAACAACAACTTGTCACGGGTGCGATGCTTAGGAAAATTAATAAAAGGCTGACTTTTAATAAAGCGTAAACAAAAAATTGTAAGAAACAAAAAATACTAGCTATCAAATAAAAAAAGAATCATCAAAATCGGTCCACCCAGTAAAAAGTTATGAGGTAACAAACAGAAAAAATACTATCGAATTGAGAACCTCCTCCTTTTTAGTCGGTTAAAAATAAATGATGTTGAAGATCATAACAAAAAGTTGATTGCATGTGGAAACCTAGGACCAAATAAATGGTAGTACGACGCACCGTTACAGGCTTAACGTGCCCACCCATCCCAT